AAGAACAAAACAACAGCAACTTGTCTGTTCCCCTTTCCCCAATTCCCCAGCACTGTTCCCATCCCCCCAATTCCCCAATAAAAATCTTAAAAAAAAAAACATTAAAAAGAAAAATGGGCAAAAAATAAGAACAGACATTTTATGGAACAGAAAAAACTCAAATGGCCCAAAGATACACATACTGATGCTCCATCCTAGAAGCAGGGAAATGCGAATTAAAACAACCAAGAGGTACTATTTCTACCCTTTGATTGGGGGTGGGTGGGTGATAACACTATATGTTGACAAGCATGTGAAGGAAAAGGAACTCTCAGATCCAGCTGCAGGGAGGAAATGGGTAGAGCCCCCCCTTTAAACAGTAAATTGGCAGTTCCTACTTCAAGTAAACACATGCCTACCAAGCCCTGACAATTTCACCTCTAGCTATCTTCTCTGGAGGCTCTCTTAGGAGTGTGTGTAGAGAGTGGATCCATGCTTGCTGTCATATTGTTGGTAATCATGAAAACGTGAAAGCAGCTGGCCAGATAAATACAGATAACCACATGTAGACCCCTGCACAGCAGCACGCAGGAATGATGTGGTCCACAGCACTGTCAGGGAAGACCTCCAACAGCAAACCATGAGTCAATATCACAGCAGGATAATCCCCATAACACCAGACCCACATGATGTCAGCAGCTACACTTGGGCAGGGCTTCCTCTGTGCCAGGAGCTGCTCCCAGCTCCTTGCACACCCACTCATTTCTTCCTCACACCCTGTGAGGTGGATGCTGTTGGTCTCAGCTCCATTGTACAGACAAGGCCACTTGCAGCATGAGGCTGCACTGCCCAAGGATATGTACAAAAGGAGTAGAAGGGCCAGGCTTGAGCCCGGGCAGCCTGGCCCTGAGCTGTGCTCTGAACTACTGCTGATTACAGTTCCTAAGGGCACACACATATGCACAGAGAAAAGGATCTGGGAGGAGAGAACGCGAAATGATGAGACTCAAAGGGGATGTTATCCTCACCCGAAGGCTTTCATTTTCTTTGGAGAACATATTCATGTGCTACATGTGTAATTAAAAACTGACAGAGATAGAAGGAATCTACAGAGACCAACACTGGTTGGTTGAGGGAGACTGTTTTTTCTGGCCTCCACCTGTCCACTCAGCTGCGACTCCCACATCAGGACAGGGACGAGGTAAGCTTGGGTGCTGGGGGAATGCCCAGGTTATCTCAGTCTCCCCTAGTAGGGCACAGGTCTGGGCCTAAGTTGATCCACGAGCTGGCTATACTCAGGAGCAGGTGGGACAGGTGGGGCAGACTTTTGGGACAGAGCTCAGGATGGGCTCAGCAGGACATGACCATCTCCATCCAGCTTGCTCCTCTGGCCACAGCTTGCACAGTGGCAGGCTGATCCTTACGTGCAGCAGGCCACGGGGCAGATGGGAGTCCAGGACAGCGCTCATGGCAGTCTAAGACTCTTAGGTCTTAGCTGGCTGAGGACAAATAACCCACAGCCCCCGATTGCCTCCTTGTGAATGTGCCCCTCCCTATGCCCACCCGTTGGGGACTGAATCCCCCAGACAGCACTTCCACTGGCTGGGATGGCTCAAAGGTGCCCACAAGACTCCTCCAATCTAGGAGACGAGGAAGCAGGAAGTGTAGGAAATGTGTGCCAGTAACGGCCAGGCAGGCTGGCCATGTCCCCCACCTCGGCGTCTGGTGACATCAAATCCTGGAGGCCCCATGAAGGGAAATTACATGAAACCTGAGGTTTAATAACCAGAGCCTGCCAACGTACCCTCCAAGGAATGACCAGAACCACTCCCTTTTCACTTGCTATTTTTGGCAGAGCTAAGAATAGCCTACTTGAAATAGTCCTCTGCCTCCTTTTGTCTGCTCTCAGTACTGCCCCACAGCACCTATCCAGAAGCCATGGCTGGTGGCAGCCACTCAGTAGACCCAGTTCACAAACCTCCCAAAGGGCCTTGAGGCTGGCTGAGCCTCCTGCTGGCACAGGTTTATCTGTGTCCTCCTCCCCCGGACATGGGCCTCTGAGTCCAGCCTGTACCTGCCCCAGGGGACCTCGTTCACACACAGACCTCATCATGCCCTTGCTCAAAGATCTTCAAACCCCTCATCACCCAGAGGAAAACAATCCAAACCCCAGAGCCTGCCATTCATGGCCAGGTGTGGCATCACTCATTGTGTTGGCCTTCACATAATGTGTTCTGAGCACCTACTACATGCTGGTTGCTATTCTAGGTGCTGACGGGGCCCTGAACTCGTGCTGCTTTAGCATAGAGAAGCCTGCCTCATTCTGCCCCTGCTCAGCCCAGTACTGTCTGCCCTCCCAGCATTGCCCCGGCTCCCTTACCAGCCGCACGGGCTGCGCCCTCAGCGCCCACAAGCAGCAGGGCGTGAGAGAAAGGCCCTGGCAGAGGCCCCTGGGGGTTGCTGTCCCGCCCCACTCTTCCCTGCAGGGCCTACCCGGGCACTCACTTGTTGAAGAGGTTGAGGCCAATGCGGTAGTGCCTCTTGCGGATGACGTCGTTGCTGAAGGCAGGAGAGTCCCAGCTGTTGCGGGTCTCCTTGTGGTAGGTCTGTTTGCTGAGCGTCTGCTCCCGCAGGCTGTCGCGGGATGACGACTCAGAGCTGCAGTTGATGGTGTCGTTGGAGTTGGACGTGCTGTTGATACTGTCATTGTCCCCATCGGAGTAGTCTGACTCCGACTTGCTCTGCCTGTTGGCTGAGCCGTTGATAGCCAGGTGGCCATCCAGGGGCCTGGGTGGCCGTGGCCGCAACTCTGGCTCCTCCCGTGGGAGGTCCTTGGGGGCGCCACTGTGAGGACCGTGCTTGGGGCTGCCCTGCTGCCCGCCGAGACCGCGCTCGTAGGTGCTTTGTCTCTTGAGGGAGCCGCGGTCTGAGCGGTCGCTGAGGTCCACGGAGCTGTCGCTGGGTGGCTCAATGGTGAGCAGTGGGGGATGCTCCACCCGCAGCCGCTGCTCTTGCCGCTCAAGCGAAGGCGTGCTCTGGCAGCTCGTGTCCATGTCCCCCTTGTCGTCCTTATGAGCCAGGGCCCAGTAGTCCTGAGCAGTGCCCCTAGCCCGCGGCCGCAGGTCTAATTCAGTGCTGGGTGGCCGGTGCCCCGCTTGTGAGAGGGGCAGGGGGGGTGACAGTTCCTCTTCGTCGATGTACAGGGTAACGTCACTGTAGGAGGCTGTCATCTCGTCCAGTTTGTGGTGATCCACGCTGTGCAGGGCCCCCTGGGGCTCCAAGTCCTGGGCCCGGCCTGTGCTGGAGGCTGGCGCCTCTTTGGCATGGAGGCTACGGCAGTTGAGGGCATCGTCGATGGACTCGGCCAGTGATTTCACCTGCCGGGAGAAGGCATCCTCCAGCTCTGTGATGGCATCCGCGAAGTCACTGCACTGGGCAGAAGACTTGAGGGCAGGCAGCTCACCAAGGTCACTGCACTCAGATGGCACTAGGGCCCCCAGCTGAGAGCCATCGTCAGTCACTGAGACCTGTTTGCCCTCAAAGTAGGAGCTGTGCATTTTCTCGGGCCCCTCAAAGGAGAACTGCATCCTCATGTTGGACAGTACGATCCTGCGTGACATGCGGTTCTCCGACATGGAGCTACGCAAGCGCTCGAAGTTCTTGTTCATCTGGTACTGGCGGAAGGCTGTCTGGATGGTGCGGGCCGCATGGCGAGTCACCAGGCGTCCCCCATACTTCCGTTCTAGCATCTCCACCTGGAGGGGGAAGGAGAGGGGGGTGAAGACAGCTCATGTACTGGCACAGCACCTTGCAGTCCCGCAGCAGCATGACCTGGGAAGGCTCCAGCACATTCTACAGCTGGTTAAAACCACTACTGGGGCATGCTGACAGGGTTGTGCGGCATCTGGGATCCAAAGTCAAATAAAATGGAGAAACACCATGTTAAACTTAAAGTAAGTAAGTTCCCTGCAGGACTTCTCAGAACCTTTAAAAGCCTTAGCCCTCCCACATCTTGTAGCATGCAGTTCAACACAACTGGAGACATTGGAAGAGGTGAAGAGCCCCTCTAGAGATGAGGAACCTGAGGCATGTGCAGACTGAGACCTGCTCAAGTCCTCAGCAAGTCCTGGGCACTGAGCATCAGCAATAGAATTCCAGCCTCATTTCCTCTGTATAGAACCAGCAGTGCATTCTGGTGGCCTGGGGTAGTCACTGAGTTTTACGGAGGCCTGAGAAAATTGCCAACCTGAGAATCAGGCTTCAAGGACAGATGCCTGGGTTCTAAACTGGCCCTGCTCAGAGGATTGTGCTGATCACGTGATGAGACTGACACAAGTGCTCAGCACATGCCAAGCTCAGGGGCAACTTGGGCTGCAAGACTTTCTCAGCTGCATTCCTGGAAGGTCTTGAGAGTTTATGGGGTCCCTAAGCCCCTCACTGCACAGATATGAAAACTGAGACCCGGAGAAGAGACCTAACACACACATGGTGGCCCCCAGACTTGGGACCGAGCTCTCACTCTCTGGCACCATAGGTCCTGATGGCCCTTCTCCTTGAGTTTGGAAACGGGGCAGGGCTGCATGCCTGTGAGAGGGACTAGGACTCCCCAGTGTGACACATGGGCTTCCTGCAGTGCTGAGGCTCATGCTGGCACACCCATGACCAAGGACAGCCCTTAGGGCTGCTCTCCATGCCTCCATCATAAGTGAGAAACAAACACTCCTGGAGCAGCAGCCTGCTCAGTGAGATCCAAAATGAAGGAGTGGCTTCTTCTAGGTGGCCGGGCAGAGAAGGCACCTTCTTTGATGTGAGGCCTATAGAGCTCTCAGGTCCCCGGGAGCTAGTCACAGTGCTGACAGAGGTGAATCACCCCACCCTACTCATCTAGATCCCACCTGCCTACTCCACGCTGGGTAACACGCCACAGCTGGCAGCAGAGAGAGACAAGGTCCCTGCACTCAAGAAGCAAAGAGTCTGTGAGGAACAGAGACACACACACATCACTGAAATAAGGCCAAACAGATGCTGGAGTTGGGGAAGAACTGCTCAGAGCTGCTGCAGGGACTGGGAAGGAAGGGCGTGAAGCCTGTCATGCCCAAGTATGCATCCTAGTCCTCTTGTTGCCAGTTTGTGGCCTGTTCACCTCTTTGGAAAGTGAGAGTGTTCCCGGCTCCATGATGCCACCCATTTCAGGGATGCCAGTTCCCCCCAAACATTGGACATTACAGCTCTCTGGGGCCCACAGGAGAGGGAGCAGCAGGCTGGGCACAGAGGCTATGGGGTGGAGGTGCCTGTGGCTCCAAATGATTTTCTAAAGCCTGACCAGGCCCAGAGTCGGCCAGGGCGGGTCTGTTTCTTCTCTCATCCTGGAGTAACTGATTGCCATCCAAAGAGATGACTTCACTTCCACATCTCTAAGCAGAGAATTTCTGTTTTTTGGGTTTTGAGTGGAGCTTTGAAAGCCCACAGGGCTGATAAAGGCCCAAGGCTGAGCTCTGGAAAGCCCTCTCTTCTTTGCCCTGCCAGGCATGTGGTCTCGAGACCCTTATAATAGTCTTGGGTGCGGGGGTAGACGGTTATGATGCCAGGGCCTCCAGATCAGGCCCAGAGCTCACTCCAGGGCCCTTTTTCTCCTGCTGACTTTGGACGTCCCAAACCAGGCAGCAACCCTGTTTTCCTGAGACTATCTCTGCAAACCTGAGGGTGCGGGTGCAGGGGCGCGGGCAAAGGAGGGAGAGAAGAGGGACTTCAGGGAAGCAGAAATGGGCTCTGTGTTTCATCCCCAAAGCCCCTCTCAGTCCCTCTCAGGCCTCCCCCAGGAGACACACACTGACCCAGGCCTGCTCTGCCTCATCCCCCAGACTCGCCGGCTCATCCTTCCCTTCAGACCGGAACCCACCCAACGCCTAGTCTGCAAGTTTACTGGGGGACAGGGAAAGGAATCCAAACAGTATGTGCTCACCTGATGTGTGCTGCCCCCCACCTGATATTCACAGTGACATCCAGTCTGCAGCGGGCTCTAAGATCCACACTTCTCAGAGGAAGCTCAGAGAAGTGGTGTGATGAGAAGCCAAGCCCTAGCTGAGGCTTTCCCATTAAGCCCTCACTCTTTCTTTGAAAGGGCACTTCTCAACAGCGGGAACCAAGAACTGACAGGAACACCCTTCCACGATTCAGAGCTGCCACCTCTCAACAACTTAGGCCTTCTGCTCTCACTAACAGGGAACCACTAGAAGGTACAGAGGCCCAAGGTCCAGATGGAAAATCCATGACTTCCCATTGGGCTCTTTTCACTTAAACAGGACTTTGCATCACCAGACTTGAACTCCACTTGAGTTACATTTGTCTGGCAATTCTCATGTAATCTGTTCTGTCCCACTTTTGTCTTAACTGCCAGGAAGCTCAGCAGAGCCGAATGCTCAGCAGCCTTCAATATCACTTCCTCACTTTCACCTCTTTATCACCTTTTCCCTGCCACCCTCTCTCCCAAGTTTGTTCTGCCTCAGGGCCTTTGCATCTGCTAGTACCTTTTCCTGGAAAGCCCCTTCTTTAAACACCCAGTTCTAATGCCACCTTAGAGAGGTCTTCCCCACCACCTTTATCCAATGCTGTTACCTCCCACAGTCACTCAATTTCTTTCCCCTATTTCATACTCTCTAGAGTTTGTATCGCTTTCTGGACTTAAACTGTGTCTTTATTGCTAACTTGTCCATGATCTATCTCCTGGACCACAGTATCAGCTCAAGAGCTAGGGCACAACCTTCTCACAGTTGACTCCCAAGCACCAGCACAGTGTCTGGCACCAGGTAGGCATTCAGCGAATACAAATAGGATGAAAACGAACAGCCATGGCCATATGAAGGCTGTAAAAAGCATATGAGTATCGCTGTAGGCTTCTATTATATTATGTCTTAAACTTTCTCAATTCTATTTTAATGGCCTCACTGCAAATGTCCTTTACTATAAGCTGTTTCTGATCCACTTTGGATCTGGGTGTAACTGATAAATAGAATGGAGGCTGTCCTCCCTGCTGTGGACCTGGCCATGGGGCCAAACACTAAAGGGGAAGTGGGCCATTTGCTATCAGGCTCTGGCCACTTGCTGGCTCCCCTTTCAGTCCCAACTCACAAGCAAAAGGATGGAGAGAGATCAGGGCTGAGGTAGGGAGGGTTGTCCAGGGTCAGAGGGCAACACAGGGCACAGGAGGGGAGGTGCTGGTAGGGGCTCTGTTGGTGGGGGAGGACCCACCTTGGGCAGTACCCACACCACTCCTGACAGGCACAGGAAGCCCACACCCCTACTCCATAAAAGACAAATAGGAAGACTGAAGGCAGACAGAGGACAGCCAGGCCACGGGGCAGATGTGGGCAGAAGAAAGGGCTGCTAGAAAAGATCCTGGGGATGGGCCAGTCTATAAGTGGCTGCCTGGGACCCACAGAGAGATGACTGCCCAAAGCTCAGTACCCAGGAGCTAGGGAAAGTTGGACAGACAACCAGCTCTGCAAACTTGTACAATTGCTTCCTGGCAGCCTGGGATTTCTCCTGAAGCCTCAAACTTTACCTCAGAGTTTCACACTCAAATTCTTATTAAAGTGCCTATTATGTGCCTGCACTCCAAGGGGCTGAAAGTGAGAACTTTCTGCCCCCCAGTGACCTCCTGTTCCCCCCACCCAGCACCACCCAGCTGGGATAGGCCTTTCCTCTCTTCCCTCAACCCCGAGAGGCTGCCTCTGGTCCTTCCTGGAGCCTGGACAGATGGTGCATCTACCTCCTCTGCACACAGGTGCAGACCTCACAGTGGATCTGGGCTGAGGCCCCAGGGGGGAGGAAATGCAGGCTTCAATGGGGGTGATTTCCCACAAGAATGCTAAGATATAAACAGGAGGGGATATAATAAGCAACCTCTCCTCACTGGCTGTGGTTGGGCTTTGTGTTCATTTCAGAGTAAGAGCTTTTTCCTTTGTAAATTGACCTCCATTCCTTCTCCCTGGAAGCTCCTTGAGTAGAGTTCCTAAGGGTCAGGCTTCTCCTGGGACTTCAGAGCCCCAGTGGCTGGCCAAGCAACCTGTGTGTCCTTGTGGAATCAGGCGATGATGGCCAGAAGCCCAGCTCAGCCCCCCAGAGCCCGGCCATGAGGGCGGTGGACAGGGCAGAAGCAAAGGCCTGACAGAGGAAATGTTCAGGAGTCCCGTCCCTTCTCTCTGAATACTCCCCATGTTTGGAGGAGATAAGGGAGCTCAGGCTGAGGCAGAGCCCACATTCTCAGGGATGTGCACCTAACTCACACTTCTGTCTTTTAGAGGCTGTAGGCCACCAGCACCTGCGGGCTGAGAGACGCCTCCCACCTCAGGCAGCCCCAGCAGAGGGCCACATCATTCCTGGAGGGACATGCAGCAGGCAGAGCTGCCTGTCCGAAGTGGCCAGGTTGGCCCCACATACCTGCTTGTCCTGCAGGTCTGAGGAGAGCTCATAGCTCTCAGAGAGGGAGCGTGAGCGCTTGATGGCTTCCTCCTCGGCCTGCTTGCGTAGGATGGACGTCGAGTGCTGCAGCTTGGGCCTCCGCGTGCGCTGCTGCCCGAGCGGCCCTGAGTACAGCCCATAGGCGCCTCCTGACGTGTACTCGTAGTGGTCAGGGCTCCGACTGGAACCGGGCACTAAGGGGCCCTGGCGGTGGGCTGAGGGGCTGTCCAGCGATGTGCAGGTCTCGCTGCCAGGGGCCTCGCCCTCCACGCTGCAGGAGAGAGGAGAGGACTCCAGTGAGTGGGGAACTAGAACCCAGGGCCTGTAGGGGTACCAGGAGGTAAGAGGGGCGACAGCCAAGAGGCAGCCTACCACGTCCAGGGGCCTCTACCACATCCCGACTCGCTACTTCCTCTCACCCTCCTACAGACGATCCCCCCTGTGCAGCCAGGGGGACCCTGCCAAGATTCTGCTCCAAACGCTCCCGAGATTCATATCCCTCAGGCTTCACTTTCTCTGTAAAACCACCTTCTAACACGCGATGCACTTCATTGATTGATTTTGCTTACTGCTCATCTCCTACAGGAAAACGTCAGCTTGTGAGGACAAAGGTTTAGCCCATTGGTCCACTGATGATACCAGTGCCTACAGCAGGGCCTGCACTTAGTAGGTGCTCAGTAAATATTTACTCACTGACTGAATGGATCCTGTCACTTTCTCTACCATCTACATTAAGTAAACCAACGATTTTTGAAATTTTTTTTTTTATTAAAAACAGTAATTAACAAAAGGGACTCTTTACTGCACACCTACTCAGAAGGCATGCATTGTACTGGTGTTTGTTATGGACTGAACTATGTCTCCTTGAGTCCATATGTTGCAGCCCTAATCTCCAGTATTTCAGAATATGTCTATATTTGGAGGGAGGGTCTTTATTTATTTATTTATTTTTAATTGGGGAATTGGGGGGATGGGAACAGTGCTGGGGAATTGGGGGAAGGGGAACAGACAAGTTGCTGTCCTTTTGTTCTTCAATCTAGTTGTGG